TTTTCTTATCCCCTTGCCTCGTATAGGTTGGGCAAGCAGTATCTTCAGAACTGTTGAATACAACGCGTACGGGTTATAGCGTAGTCCTTCGTAACCCGGCTTTTTCTCTACGCTGTGGTGGTACGGCCAAGGAGTGTCAATTCCGTGGGCGTGTGTGAGGCGAAGTGGTGAGAATGAATCGTGAAGTGGTTATAATCGAATTGGATAAGCCTTCCGCGACGATGGGGGTGGTACTCCGCGCACGGATCTGCGTTCGAGGCCCAAGCCAACGGTTACACGCTGCTAAGTTGGGCTGCTGGCCGTTTGGAAGTTTCGCCGCGCGTACTACAACCACGCGAGCTATCAACGCCGATGTTTTCTATAATTCCTTCTGGCTCGTTCTATTGAGCTGGAAGTACTACGGACAAGCCTCCTTGATTGAAGCTTCGGCCCAATTTGACCTTGGTTGATCCCACGGAGGGCGGCGCAACCTGAGCGAGTATGTATTTTGACTAGATTCTCACCCCGTATGATCGAGGGGGAGTAGCTTAGGTATGAGCAGTGGGAGGTAATAAGATGCATTCTTCTACGGACGTCCCTGCTTTTATACTAATTTCTTTCCGACCGCCGCGCGCGACCTTGTTTCCTCATTCGTCCACGGACCCCTTTCAACACTGCCCTCCTTGCCTCGCGGCGAGGATCTCCATGCTCTCCCGTGCGCTTGAAGGAGATACCTAACCCACGGACCGTAACGTTGCTGCCCGTGCGCCCAATTTCCGTACTCCGTAGCTCGCACCTCCTTCCGTAGCCTTGATATGTACCGCGTGGCGACACTTTCCGTACCCCGTGTAGTACCTCTTCCGTATTCTGCGTATGCATCATGTCGATTTGTTAATTTTCGTGAGGTCCGTGGCGCTTTGGGGATTTATTTGGTGGTAGGCCTGGTGGCGTAACTGGTAACGCGCGCACTTGAGTTCCACTTCTCCACGATATTACAATTGCGAGACCCTCGTTCGATTCGAGGTCAGGCCATGTACCTTTTTCCCCACAGGAGAGAATCAACCGTGGGTCGACACCTTTTCTTTGACGTCTTGTAGTGTAGACCCGGTGGCGTAACTGGTAACGCGCGCAATTGTAGTCTCTTCACAATATTGCATAATTGCGAGTCCCTCGTTCGATTCGGGGTCGTGTCGTTTTTTGCTTCCCTTTTTCCACAGGAGAGAATCAACCGTGGGTCGACACCTTTTCGACGTCTTGTAGCGTAGACCTGGTGGCGTAACGGTAACGCGCGCATTGTCGGTTCCTCGCAATATTGCATAATTGCGAGTCCCTCGTTCGATTCGGGGTCGTGTCGTTTTTTGCTTCCCTTTTTCCACAGGAGAGAATCAACCGTGGGTCGACACCTTTTCGACGTCTTGTAGCGTAGACCTGGTGGCGTAACGGTAACGCGCGCATTGTCGGTTCCTCGCAATATTGTACTATACTGCGAGTCCCTCGTTCGAATCGGGGTCAGGTCGTTTTTGCAACCTTTTTCTGTGCGTGCTCCGTAGTGCGTATTTGCCTTTTTCTGTGGTCATTCGTTGTCATACTTGCAGTTGACTTGCGGTGAAAATGAGTACGGATATCGGTCCGCAGGCAGTCGGTCCGATCACCGACCTCGGCTAGAGGGGGGGGGGGGGGGGGGTACAGCCACCACTCCAGATTTCAGAGGTTGATATCCGGAACTTTTGTTCCGCCCACCTCTTGTTTGCCATTGCCACCAGCACCCCCGATGCCACCACCTGGTCCACCCGACCCTCCGGTTCCTCCTGCAGAGGAGTTAGAAAAAGACACAAGTGAACATCAATGTGATTAATATTCGCACCGAGGATTGTGACGTGGTGTCCGCTGGACAGCATGATAACTTCGGGAGAAGCGACGTGGGAGGGTGTTACCATTCGTTGTGACAGGTCTTTGTTCGCCGGTGACAATCATGATGCATATCAAATTTCTTTCAAGCCCCGTCGAGGGAGTGCGAGCCCGTTCACACTATTTCGACCGAATGTTCAGGTGACGGGTGATGGAGGGTCGTGAACTGAGCCAATTTGGGTAGGTGATGGCGACATTCCAATTTTTGGGCTCCAATAGGGGTAAAAACCGTCAAAAAATCTCGGCCGGCACTTGCCGGCTGTCTTTATGGGAATTTGAGGTGATTGCCGAGGAATGAACACCAAGTCCAGTGAACACTGTGATACGGACTGCGGTTCCGTGAGTTGTCTGACCGGGTGTGGTATAGTCAGGCAAATACACAAAGTTAATTCGTCCTCTAGAGGGAAATTTCTCTGTCGCGGAGGTTCGTCTGCTACTGTGGTACACACGATGTTATGTATTTATAAAAGGTGGTGGTGGTGGTACAGCTTCTTCTGTATGGAACAAACAGTTTCGCTAGGTTCCTCGAGGATTTATTTCCTCGTTGGGGGCTAGCCTTCCAGGAAAGCTATGATCAGAGGGTTTTCTACACTTGCGCGAAGGGTGGTGCTCCGCAAGATGAACACTGTTCCGTGTCGAGATGCCTGGGCTATATGGTCCCTTTTCCTTATCTCCTTGCCTTGTATAGGTTGGGCAAACAGTGTCTTCAGAACTGTTGAACAACGCACACAGGTTATAGTGTGGTCCTTCGTAACCCGGTGAAACGGTGCACGTGAGTGCAGCCGTGTAATCAACGGATAGGTGGAACTAACGAGCGTAGCGAGTATGACTCAACTAAACACTCTATCAATCCCAAATACCAATCAACTCACTAACTCCAATCTCAATACTCGTCGTGTGTGTGCTCGGGGAAGTAGGGTACGTATCACCCTTCAAGGCAAGTTGGTTCGCAAGTACGGACTCAACGGTAGGCTAGGTATTTCTCCGGTAAGGTCCCAAGCTCTTATTTGAATGCTCTCCCGTAGGATTCTTTAAGTTCCTCAAAGATGAAGAAAGTCAAGAAAAGAGTCGTACAACTCTACGGTAGGCACTCCGGCCACAGAATAGCCCGACGGTAGAACGAAAGGCCAAGGTTTCCTTAATTCCCTCAAACGGTCTTCTTAACAGAGCAAGCTCAATGTCGGCGGGAGAGAGTTAGACTCGATAACCCGCAAGAAACCGTAGAACGGCTGGCTTCCAAGGGCGGTTCAACTGGCTGGGTCGCTGCACTTATAGTGGTCTTAAACGGCGTAGTTCGCGGGACGTACTAGCTCTGAATCCAATCTATTGCAGTTCTCAAATTCTGTTCTTATCTTATCTATGAGTGACTAAATTCCTCTCCAAAGTGGGGGGGAGTCGTTAACTGAGGTATATTGGTGTAACTCTATTTTATTTATACAAACTGAGGGAGCGATAAGGGGATAACTTGGCTGATTCATGAATGGCGTGATATGTCGGAACTGATCCCTCCGGGCGGGTCTACGGTAAGGCAGCCAATGGTACCGTTGGTATTTCTTCAACCGTGGGTTCCTGGTTACCGGAGGTAGTGCTCCCGGCGGTGATCCCAGATCCTAGTGAAACCTTTGTCAAGTACCCTTCTTCCAAAGGCACCCTTCGGCGACGGTTTGACTCCACTTAAACTCGTTCTCCCGGCGGGCTGAGCCTCCCGGCGAGCCATTCATTAGTGTAGCGGCTTCACCTTCTCTAATCTCTCTTGTTCTAGCTCAATTACTGCTCCCGGAGACACATATGTGCAGTGATCGTCCGGCGAGGATCTCCATCTGAAACATAAGTCCCGAGACTTAATCATCTGTCAAGCGACCGCCCGCCCGTAGAGTCAAAGTGAAGTGCTTTCTCCCGGCGGGTCTTTGACTGTCCCATATCCTCTCCCAGTGTAGTCCTTCTTCAGACGTGTCTTCTTCAATCCTCCCGGAGGGTGGTTCCTTATGAACGAATGCTAGTCTGGCCTTTCTACCAATCCGAACTTGGTTACATTGTTTGCAACAGGGTTCATCTTGATGATCTGATCTGAGTTGTACTCGGGACGGCTCAACGGTAAACTCAGCTGAGGTCTCCCGGCGGTTACTTTAGCCTGCCCGGCGGGCCGGAACTCAACTTGAGTTGAGCCCGTCGCCCGCAAGTCCGACGCTCTCCCGTAAGGCCGATAGCTCTCCCGTAAGGCCGTGAAGCCGCCGGTAGAGTTCAGTCCTCTCGTAGAGAGTCCTTCTAAATTCAACATGGTTGTTCCTCCCAAGGCCCCGCTTAATAGCGTTCAGCCACTAAGACCAATAGTCCCTCTTGATCACCTCTAGCACTCCCGGAGCCTGGCGGTAAGCCAACTCTAGGAGCTCAACGGTTGACTCGACAACAAAGCGCCTCTCCCATAAGGGAGCCACGCTGAGTGCCAAATAACTAGTGTCCCGTTGACTTTCAGCCGTCATAGGCGTAGAATACCACTCCGAGGAGAGTGTACCCTCTCTAATCCTAGTCTCCCTTTGACCTTTAAATAGGTTCGAAATCGAAAGAAAACTGGTAGTTTTCAAGCGTGCTTTGGTGCACGCCCTATCACCGGCTTTTTCTCTACGCTGTGGCGGTACGGCCAAGGAGTTTCAATTCCGTGGGCGTGCGTGTGGTGAAATGGTGAGAATGAATCCCGGAGTGGTTATAATCGAATCGGATAAGCCTTCCGCGACGATGGAGGTGGTACTCCATGCATGGATCTGCGTTCGAGGCCCAAGCCAATGGTCACACGCTGCTAAGTTGGGCTGCTGGCCATTTAGAAGTTTCCTTCCGACCGCCGTGCACGACCTTATTCCTTTTCTGTCCACTGAGCCCCTTCAACACTGGCTTCCTTGCAATTTCCGTACTCCGTGGCTCAGCGAAAGTCTTCCATCTTCCTGGGTCACTTCCCGCCATCACGGCCCGATAGTGTACCCTCGCAGGTTCCACTGTGGAGAATAAGAGCTTTACTGCGTGCAGAATCGAACAAGGTCGGGTCTTGGATCTTTTGTATTTTTGTGTCAATTGTTGGTTTTCGTGAACACCATAGTCATTGGTGTGGTTTTATAGTCATAGACCTGGTGGCATAACTGGTAGTGCACACATTTACGGTGTCACTGACCCCTGGTAATCTTTAAATGTGAGACCCTTGTTCAATTTGAGGTCAGGTCGTGTGGTTTTTGGCTTCTTTTTCCATGTGTGTTCCGTAGTGCATATTTGCCTTCTTCAGCCACGGAGGGAGCATATCACGAAGTGATAGCTCACAACACATAGTTCAGCGCTTGAGGCGGCGGAGGTGAGTGTTGCGACCAACTCTGACCGGTGTGACTGATTGTGACTTTTTAAAATTCATGCGTGAATTCACGTTTGCTGATCAGGCCCTACTTGGAGGTCATAGGCCGGTGCTATGCACAGCAGAACTCATATTTGTTTATTTGGCACGGTCACGTGAAGATCAAACAACCCATCTATCACATCTAGTAAGCACATATTCAGTGCAAATGAATACATCACAAGGTCCTCTTCTTCCTTTGGCAGACCTGTCAGGGGAACCCCTATTCCACGGGCTTTGGGGTTGCCCTTACAAGACCAATGTTGTGTAGTCAAAGTCTTAGGGAAACATTCAAATGCCAGATTTTTTAGCGCAGGCTCTAAATTTAATATGAGGCTTTCGGAATGCTTGTGTGATCTTCGACTGAGTTTGATGCACTGGTCTCACAATGAATTTCATAATTCGTAGAATCAGCCAAAGGCCCCGCTGTCACCTAATTTTCTGCCTTTGTTTTCTTGTTTTCTTGGATTGTGTTCTAGGGCTGTGAGCGGGAATCTCGGAGTATGTACAAAACTCGGAACATCGGCACATTCAAATTCTCGGCATATAGCTAGGAAAACACCTGAAACACAGCACATTCACCGTTGCCGGGTTTAAACCACGGCTCTGATTGATCCCCCTTCAAAATGCCCTTGAGCTGAAAAACACAAGTCCGAATTCACTTTTTTTTGTATAGATCCCTGATAAACTGGAACCCTAACCACTAACCACTAACCTCTAAGACAAACCCTAACCTCTAACCAAAAACCCTAACCAAAACCCAAACCACTGACCAAAATGTGCCGTGAGTGTGCCGTGCTCGAGCAAATGTGTGGTCCATTAGAATGTATGTACGTTCCGAGTTTTGTTGGTCCTGGGAATCTCGCCAGGCTCAAGGCTGATCACCTAAAAGTCCCAAAGCAGCTGCGACTCAACAGATACATACCGGGTGAACCAGCTACCATGACCCGGGACTACAACAAACAATTTGATCACAGTCACTATTTGAATCACCAAATGTTTGAGGGAGAATTAAGCACTGCCACTAGTTTCCATTCATATTCAAACACATGTTAAGCACAGCCACTAAAACCGTTACATTGTTTCCGGTGACAAGGGAAAAAAATGATCTCAGGTGGGCCTTTAGTTTATAAAAAGAACGAGATTTTGATGCAAGCAAAAATACTCGTAAAAATGTTTGTCATATACGAAAATCTATAACCGTGTCAGTGTCTTTCAGTGTCAGTTTTCAACTGGTCCCTGGCCCAGCCCTATCCCTGTCAATGCCCCAGAGCTGTTGTGTGTTGTGATGATCCTCAGATTTAATGATGAAAGATGATTGTGACAGATTGTCAATCTGATGCATGCAGGAGAATATCAGCCTTTTGACATTTTGATTGTCGGTTGTTTGGGGTTGTCAGGTTGCGGCAACCTGACAACCTCAAAAACCTTCAGATTAGCGGTAAAAGTGTATTGAATAGTTCCAAAACAATCACTGCGTTCAGGCCCCATGTAGACACAGGGTGCTCCTACCCGGGTAGACCATAGGGGTAGACGCACCCATTGGTCTATGTACGGCTACGCGTGTAGACGCAGGTTGGGCTACATGGGTCTATGTTGGTCTACACAGGTAGACCAGTGTAGACCAACATAGCCACACGTAGATGTATGTAACCCTACCATGGTAATTCCCAGCTTCACCGATTTGGTGCCAATTTTTCGAATTTAGGGCCTGTCATTGCGTGGGAGGTCTACGCGGGTAGACTAACGTAACCAACGTAGCCGAACGGGCGTCTACGTAGACCTACGTCATGTAGCCACGTGGTAGGCCAACCTAGGATCACCATGGGCTACACGGCGTACGGCTACCCGGGTAGACCAATGTAGACAAGGGGTAGACCAATGTAGACGCATGTAGCCCAATGTAGGACCACCCTGCGTCTACATGGGGTCTGAACGCAGTGAATAGAGGCAGTCAGAGTCGACGATTAACCCGTGATTCACGCATCGATTCAAGGCCGATTAAGACGCGATTCTGGAATTAAAAAAAGCCTAGAATCGCACTGAATCGTGGGAGAATCGGGCTCAATTTTGACCGCTCTGGCTCAATCACGATTCTGAGCCAATTCTCAAGAACGATTCCTCGAATATTGCCTGCCCTAAGTTGCAATCTCCCTTACACCTTGCTCATGCCTGCAGTAATGGCCTCAGTCTCAATTATGGTCTCCTTACACAGGGGGCAAATATAGCCGCACCTGTCATAAGCGCAACCAAGCCGCAACCGAACGGGACTTGCTGCGTCCTCGCTATATACTTGCAGATTATTATGTAATATGGCGAGGTCTCCGGGCATGGGTTCGATTCTGGGCAAGGCCATTTTTGAAATGCCAGTGTTATCACCCATGACAAGTCAAACTAAATGTGCCTTTAGTTCCACTTCATAATAAATGAACACAGGAGAAGATATGTCTTTGACTTGGCTAAATGTCAGAGCTCAACAAGTGGATGCTGGCATTCTCAGGTGTATTATGGTCTAACGAGCATTTGCAGGACACACTGAGCACAGTTTTTAGAATCACACCTGATCCCGAGACTTTGCCACCTTGTCAAAAAGCGAAGCACTTGTCTTGTCTGGCACCAGTAGTGAAAAGCCCTGTGCAGCCCCAGGGAATAGCCTGCCAAAACTTTGCAGCGGAACATGTCCGTTCTCTGCATTCCTCATGGTCCCCTTTCAAATGCTACAAAAGCACCTCACCTCCATCAAGTCTTTTTGTCATGTCCCCGCACCGCACAATTGTGGGCAATGCCCCGCATTTTATATATCTGTATACATCTCTGGGAGCATTCCCAAGGCATTGTCCCCTTTCCAGATGAAAATTGATCCCTGAAGTTAATTTTCTTAGGGCCAATAGTCATCACACTATATATTTCTGACGTCTCATGATGCTGCAATAAAAAACATATCCGATCCTAAAAGAATGCGATGGGTAGGAATCGAACCCATGCACGAATACATCACTGTATTACATAAGTACGTGCAAGGACGCAGCAAGTACGCAGCGAGTCCCGTTCGGTTGCGGCTTGGTTGCGGCTATGACAGGTGCGGCTATGTTTGCCCCCTGTGTTACCTTTGTTAAAGTTGGGGAGTGTTCTAACAGCCATTTTCTCACTTGCAACAGGCCGGAGCAAGTGGGAATGAAGGGCACGACTAAATCTATGAATAAGTGCTTAAGAGAGTCACAAAGATTTGAAGTCCACTTAACAAAATGAAGGGATCGTGAATCGTGAATCATCGGTAAATCACCTCGGGAGGCGATTCACCGATTCGACGTGATTCCTGATTTTCGACGATTCTCCCACGATTTATTAATTCGAGAATCGTTGATGAATCGTTGGCATGAATCGTGGGTTAATCGTCTACTCTGACTGCCCCGAATGTAAAACTGTGCTAGAAGTCTTCTAAGCACTGCGGCAAGTACAATCACCACAATTTTTTTTTTTTTGAAAAACACAAATTTCGGCCTCGCACCGGCTCGAACTCTCGAGGTTGTTCAGAAGATTACATAGGGTTGTGAGGTTGTGAGGTTGCGCGAGGTTGCACCGATTTTGGGTTGCGACGTTGCACAACCTGGCAACCAAAAATGTCAAAAGTCTGATGGGGGAGGAGCATCAGACTTTTGACAAAATATTTTTACTTTGTACAAGGTAAAAAAAGGTCAGAAAAGGGCCAAAAAGGCCGCAATACCACAAGACCACAAAGTTAGAGGTCAATCTCGCAGGGTCACTAGTTTGACCCCGAATGAGGGTATTTATTTCGAATTTGGGGATGGATCATTCCATGAGGTATGTACTAGGCTAGCCAAATGTCTGAACCATTGATCCCACCTTGCTTGCATTTGGTGAGTGCATTTTTTTTGCCCTTTTAACCTGGTGAGCTTGTCAGCGAGCTCACAAGGTTCAAAAGGGGACAAGATTTTTGTCAAATCACTGATGAGGAGGATTACCTGAACGGTCCCAAATTGAAACAACAGGTAACCGTACTACGTAAATGTGACGTTTACATCTACGCTACGGATGCCAAGATAAAAAGATGAACAGCAACCAATGAGAACAAAACTTCCCATGACTCTCTGGGATATAAAGGTCTGGTTACTCGTAAATGGCTACACACCCTCACCAACATGCCGCGTCAGCCGACCATAACTGACATTCGTTTGAATAATGTCTCAAAATGCTTGAACCTCACAAGGTATAGCCTGCAACTCCTTGCAGACACTCTCAAGATCTCCGGCCTGGAGGCCATTTTGAATACCACACAATCTCTTGTGGAATTAGTAGAGGTATATTTCCCATGAAATCATTATTGGCACGCTCTTTATTGGAGCCCTAGAACATCAAACAAAACAAGAATAACTGCAATGAGTTGATGGAGCAAGCTCACCAAGTGCTTAATGCAATTATCGGAATTTATATCAAGTCGGATATTGGGGTGGAAGTGACTCCGAGTGTCTTGAGTCACCTTGCAAATTTTACGCAGTAGGTATCTGGTGTTGGTTGAGTCTGGCATTGACTGACAGATAATTTAGCACTCTGCACAAGATCCATAATTTTGTTGAGGCCCAACAAAGCGGCAACAAATTTAAAGCATTCTTCCAACAGGGAGAAATGGGTGCCTTGCTTAGGGATTGCAGGGCAGAGTTGCAACATGGTCTTGATTTCTTTCAGGTAGATGCTGTGGTACAGGGGGAAAGCCTTGAGTATTGATGAATGCTGACACTGTTCAGATCACTAATATCATTACTGAGGCCAAGGAGATGCAAGAACATGTGCAAGCCAGACATCAAGAGGTGCTTGATACCAT